CATTTGCCCGCCCCAGGCTGCTGGTCCTTTTTTTTTTTTTCCCTTCTCGATCGTGAATAGCGGCACCTTTGGGACCCCTCCCCCCCTCCATCGAGTCTACTTAAGCTTCTCCTTTCTTTTGTTCTTTATTCTCTCCACGTCTCCTTCTCCTCGGTATATCCCACACCCGTCATCTCTCGCGACTCGTCGTACCTCTCCCACCAGCGAACACGAAGAAGAAAAGAAAGACAAGCCCGTCTCCAAATCTGCAGCATTCCAGTCCTACCCCGCAGCCACCCGGACAGACAAGAAAAAAAACCACCAAAAACCCAGACAAACACCGCCAACATGGTAGAGAAGCTCTACGTCACGTACAACGATGTCCGTTCCGCCCCTGCCTGTCTCTCTCCGTGTCTCTCTGTCCGCACGAGAACACACCGTGCTCCCCTAACCCTCCCCATCCGATGGCACCCTCGACCAAACACAATCTCCTAACACCTCTCAACCAGGTCCACAAGCTCTGCCAGGAGTCCGCGACCGAGATCCTCGAAAAGTTCCAGCCGCAGCTGATGATCGCCATCGGCGGCGGCGGCTTCATCCCCGCACGCATCCTGCGCTCCTTCCTCAAGCAGCCCGGCAGCCCCAACATCCCCATCCAGGCCATCGGCCTCTCCCTCTACGAGACCCTCCCCGAGACCCTCGGCGGCGTCGCCACCCCCGACGGCGCCCCCGAGGTCCCCGGCACAAAGGTCACCCGCACCCAGTGGCTCGACCTCAGCGCCCTCGGCGAGATGGAGAACCTCATCGGCAAGCGCATCCTCATCGTCGACGAGGTCGACGACACCCGCACCACCCTCGAGTACGCCGTCAAGGAGCTCGAGAAGGACGTCGAGGCCGCGCGCCAGCGCATGGGCGGCAAGGGCGAGAAGACCCAGTTTGGCATCTTTGTCCTGCACGTATGTTTATTGTCTCTTTGATTTCCCCCTGGTCTTTGTTTGCCAAGCAGGAGAGGTGCTGACTGATCGTTGCAGAACAAGGACAAGAAGAAGAAGGGCGTCCTGCCCGAGGACATGATGGCCTCCGGCCAATACTTCGTCGCCCGCACCGTCAAGGACATCTGGATCAACTACCCCTGGGAGGCCATCGACATTGACGAGCACGACCGCCTCGGCGCCGGCCAGCCCAAATAGACGAGACGAGGGAGGCTTGGCCATGCATATATACATAAAAACGAGCGACGCGAGAACGTGATTACGAGGGCGCTGGGAGGGGATTAGACTGAGGGGGCCGGGGTGCTACGGCCCGTAAAAAGGATACCAAGGGGCATACCGTCGAGTTGCCTGAGCATACATACCAAATGACATTTCAAAGTTTTACATGCCGGATCGTCTGTGAATCTGGTCCAGCGCCTGTTGTCGGGTGGGTCTGTATCTTTGGGCGGGTCGAGTACGGGGGCCAGGATGAACATGGCGAAGGCGGCTATCATGAATTCTCGGCTTGGCTGCAACCCATTCGGTTTCTTCCAGATCTCAACGACAGGACTGCATGGTAAGGCAGGAGACGACAGCCGGCCGACATCCCGGTCGAGATTCGAATATGCAAAGATCGAAGCTGACGTTTGGTTTTAAGCAAGAGATGCCTCGGCTAGTCCAGCATCTCGCATCCCACCTGCTCCAGTGCTATCGCCAGTTCTGTCAGCTCTACTTGACTGAAAGCCATTTTCTTCCTGCTCACGCCTGAGGTACCCAACGCCGGTCGAGGCGCTGACAAGACTGGTCGAATTCGGTCAGCCCTTCTTCAGCAGCACCCACTCCGTTGAGCTTCCGTCTTTTGGCGTCTGCAGTAAAGAGCTGGTCAATTATGACTTCAAGAGGCGTCCTGAAGCATCCCTATACCGCCATTCGTGATGGTCGGACTGAACGTCTCGCCCCGCGGATGCATCCGGCGCCGTGGAATCAGCCCTACCATTGTCCAACGACACTCATGGCGGTATATGTAAGCGGCGACGACACTCCTGTTGCTTCCATGTACCTTGCAAGCACAACCTGTCTCCTTCTTCGACACCCTCCAACCGCGTCAATGCGCGTCTGTCGAGGATCGCGCATGTCAGCCCATATCCAGGGGCTTGAAACAATCCACGAAGCCAGCCTTGCTGTTTCAAAAGGAACCATCCATCAGACGACGACGTTCAATCCAGGCCGCCAAAGCACGGGTATAAATCTCGGATAAAGCGAACACTCAAGTCAAAAACCTCTTCGCCGTGAAGAGAAATCCGCCATAATTGCCTGTCTTCACTCATACATCTCCGACATGCCTCCCCCGCGCCGAAAGAAGCACTCCCCGGAAGGCCCCACTCTTCCCCGAACATCCCGGGCACCATCCGGCCAACACCCCCGGCCCTCCCGCTCTTTCCCAAAATCACGTCTACAACCGCTCCCACCGCCGCCAATACCACACAAGGACGGCATCCACATTTCAGGCAGCGTCAACCTCAAAATAAACCAGACCTTGTCCATCGCCATGATGACAACGCCCGTCATACCGCTGCCGCTATCCACCCTGCTGGGCGTGACCCTGGCGGCGGCCACTGACGCTGTTCCCAAGGTAGATACCAAGTCTGGCAAGTGAGCCGGAGAAACTCCCGAACGATTGGTGCAACGTGTGGCGGCTCTTGTGGGATGGCACGAGATGGCTTGGGCTTGGTGCGTGCCGCGGCCCATGCCTGAACTTTCCGGAGTTCGGACCGAGCCGTGGAGGTTGCGACGGCCGGTTGTGGGCCGAGGAAGCGAGTCCGTCTGGTGAAAACGGTATAGGGATGTAATCTTTTGGGTCGCGTTTGGAGAGCGGGCTGGGTCGAGAACGGATGGAGGAAGATCGTCCGGTGCAGGGTCCGGTGCTTAGAGGGAGAAGATGCGCAGGATGTGTATAATATCTGCGCTCGTATTATTTTGGCAGTCTGGCTGGCTGGGTCAATGATAAACAGGTGATCAACTAAGCCGTCGTCGACACAAGCAAACCCTCGACATCGCGAATGGCTCCAACATCTGACTGCCCAAACGAGGCCAAGAATCTCAGTAGCATTAGATCGACGTATCAAGCGCATAAAAGCGCCACAAGTCCTGTTTTCCCTCAAATTCTGAACGCCAAAGAGGCTGACACAGGGTATTGTCTATGCACCAGTCAACTCCCGAACCCAAATATCACACACACACACACACACACACACACACACACACACACACACATACAACCTCCCCCACCCCAAAGACAGAGAGGGCTCTTACTCAATAATGGCCATCTCCGACGGACCGCCCTGGAACCACCCCATCTGGTACATCGCCATCCCGAACCCGCTCGCCTGGCTGACCGTCAGGCACTTGTCCAGCACCCACAGTTTCGTGTCCTTATCCGCCAGCGCCGACTTCAGCACCGCGATCATCGGCCAGAACATGCACCACGCCTGGAACCCCATGCCCTGCGCCTTGCACACGCTCTCGCGCCCGTCGAACCCGAAAATCACCCGGATCTGCTCGCACACCTGCTCCATCGCCGTCAGCCCGTGCGGCAGGTCCACCAGCGCGCGCAGCTGCTCGCGCGTCGGCTCGCCGAGCGCGATCAGCAGCGACAGGATCTGCTCGACCATGTGGAGCCGCACGGTGAGGTACAGCCCCTTGGCGATCGCGTTGGAAGCGGGCGAGTCGCGCCGCAGCAGCCCGTTGAAGGTGTTCACGCCGGGGTCGGGCAGGCCCGCGGCCGGGGGCGATTGGCGCGGGGCGGGGGCGGCGACGCGGTAGTTTGCCGCGGCTTCGAGGTCGCGGATGATTTCGATGCCCTCTTTGAAGACTGCCGTGACTCTGTCGACGGAGGCGTCGTGGATGGATGGAGAGGATGTGGTCTTGAGCACGGTGAACTTGTAGTCGATGGCGCGGGCGATGAGAGCCTCGACGACGCCGCCTTGCCTCTGCGCCCACGTGGCTTGTGTCAAGCCCGTCAGTATTGGCGACCGGCCATCTTGGCCGATGAAGATTTCGAGAATCTAGTATCAGTTTCAGCGGCGTGGTCAGGAAGAAGTCAGATGTGGAATGCTTACCCCCAACTGAGCGATGAATGCCAACGAGGCTTTGTCCAGCCACGTCGCGATCCCCTGCTCGGCTCTGTACCTGAGCAGCGCCAACGACCCGCGGCAGTGTGATGCTATCTTTGACGGAGTCTTATCCGGTATAATCGCCTGAACCCCGTTAGCCAACCTTCTCTCTCACTCTCACTTGTATCTCCATCTCACCTCAAAGAGGCCTAAAGTGAGTAAAGCCACCACAACAGAATCCTCCTTCGCCTTCTGCGGATCCCTCAACGCCGCACTAAGCTTCATCATCGCCCTCCCATAATGCTGCTTCGCCTGCGCCATCATGCCCGCCTGGCACAGCTGCAGCGACGAGCTCGCCAGCGCCGTCGCCTTCACCGCCTCCTCGAACACGCCCGGCGAGTTCACCGGCGGCTTCAGATCAAATAACAAATCGAAGAAGCCCACCTCGTTGCCGGACGTGTAGTTCGACTGGAAGTGCCGCATCGAGTAGATCTCCGAGTCGTACTGCACCGCGCGCGGCATCACCGTGACCCGGCGGATGAGCTCCTCCTCCTCGGACGAGTCGCTGCGCTGGCTCTCGGGCGAGCTCCCCTCCCCGAGGCCGCCGGGGCTGATGAACGTGGGGGCGTCGCCGCGCTCCTTGAGGCGCTTGGCGACGCGGACCTGGACCTGGTGCGCCGCGGAGGCATTCTGCTGGCGGTGGACGACCGTCCACGGGTCCGCGTAGCCTGGACACTGCCGGCCTAGGGATATGCAGCGGTTGCAGAAGGGCTTTTGCAGATCGCACTGAGACGGAGTCAGGTCAATTCGGACAGAACAAGGTGATTGGTGCAGCAGACCTTGACTTTCCTCGCCTTGCAGGCGAAGCAGCTCGCCGACGGCCGGCACCCCATGATGCGGCGCAGCGCTCCGGAGGCACACCCCGATACGTACGTTCAGTCCCTTCAGTGCCCGACCGCCAGCCCCACGTCAGCTAAGCTAGGTCGGCGCGCGATAGCTTCGGGGGCCTGGAATGAGCGCGGAGGACATAAGGGAGCCAAGCGGGGTGAGGCTTCGGGGTGATGCGGTCTCGATGAAGAGATTAGTCGCCGTCCTGGAACGAGGACGGCATTCACTTTCTAAACTGTCGTCGGGCAAGACGGTTAATGAGCGACGTTTTCGATTCGTAAGAAGGGAGCTTGTGCACCCGGTGGGCTGGGCTCACTACGTCGTCCTAGGCGTAGCGCAGGGGATTAAACCTTCCCGCTACCTTAGAGACGCTACTACGCCAGCTATGATGAGGTAATGGGCGCGTCGCAAACGGCGTATGGTTAGGGGGGTGAGGGGATGCTTAAGGTGCTCGTAGCGAGTCATTGTCGCATTCGCAGGCCTTTCAGAGGTTCTCCTGCGACAACGACGACTCGTGTCTCATCACCGCCATAGCGCCGAAACTCTAAAACCAAAGACAACATGGAAGAGCTGCCCTAGTGTGGGCAGTCTTGCTGCTCTAACGGCGGGACCTGGGAAGCTCTTCCATATGCCTGTGAAGTCCAAATAAGCTTTTGCTGACCTTGGAGGAGAGCTCCCTTCTCCCCATGCAAGGGTGAGCGTGGGAGTGCATCGTGGGCATGGCCTGCCTCCCATCTGATGAGACGAGCGGTGAGACATTGCGAGAACAGGCAACTCTAGCCTCTGCTTTCTGGAAGCTAGTTTTCTAAGCAAGGTTTTGCAGTACGGAAATCCCGAAATTATATGGTCAATTGGGCTGTATATTAGACTTTTACGGACCGACAATCTGGAGAGTGGCTGAATTTGAGGTTCAGACATTGCATACTTGGGATGGAAACCACTTGCTTGGCAATCTGGAAGCGTATGTGCGATAAGACAACGTCTGTGGTCTCCCGAGGCAAGTGATGAATACCTAGTAGCGCCGTAGCCCGATTAGTGATACTCAGTTTTGGTTGCGAAACTTTGGAGTTGGCCGAGGATATGGGATACCGGCCGCGTTGACTCACTTGGCTTGAGACATTGCACAGTCTATTTCACGTCTCCGGAAACTTCAATTGAAGCCTTGGGTTTCGCTTTTTGGTACGATTCACCTGCACCTGGGCCAATAAGCATTGCCTTGGAAGTACTAAGAACAAGTAAGACAAGTTTGGCATGGATGCTTGACTTATTTGTATTTCAAAGTTTGAGATAAGTCTCATCCCGTTGACCAACGGCTCGCTTCCCTGCCAGACCGTAAGCAGCACGACTTACACCCCTACTTCAAAAGCAACCGAGACTGATATTATTCCTACGATCGTTGTAAGCATGTACTAAAAGACAGTATTGCCTAGGCCTTCTGGCGCCAGTTGCTGGAAGCCAGAGACCTAAGTGGCTGGTCTGTCTTGTTGCTCGATGAGTTCGGCGTGCTGGAACCCATCCTCTTCCACGACGACCTGTCAGGTTCCGACCTCTTCTCAGTCCTGGATACAGGCCAGGAAGGCTGGTTGCTATTCGCCGAAGACTGTGAGGACATGGTAGGCCAGTCGTCCTTCGATTCCCTCGGGGCTGGGCGAGTCCATCCCGTGCTCGACTGCTCGTCTTTTGGCCTGTCACTCTGAGGAGTAGGTCTCCCTCTCCATGAGGAGTCTTCTTTCTGCAGCCTCGACGGCTCCCGGATCCTCACTGGAATTCGTTGGGCGACGCTGACCTGCAGGGCACCTCCTGCGTATTCCTTGCCATTCAACGCCTTAATTACCGCCGCTGCTTCCTCGACCGTTTCGAAGTCGACGAAGCAATAGTGGTGGTTTCCGGGCTTGGAGCGAGTTTCCATATGGGGTGTGACTCGTTTTCCTATCTCTTTTCTGTTATTGGATACTATATTAGTAAACGGTCGTGGCATTCGTCACCCCTCGGGCGTAGAACGGAGACTTACGGAGTGAAACCAGCCAGGAGATCCTGCATCTCCTGCTGGGCATGTTGCTGATCAATCATCCTCGTCAGCCCGCCGATATACAGCCGCCTGCCATCGCCATCTGTGCCAACGACTTTATCAAAGTGGCCCATAGCCTCATATGGGCTGTCCCCAGTCCCTTCAGCCCCAGGTTCCTGCTGGCCTGTCCAATTACCCCATCGCTTATCATTCGGCTCCGCTTCCCTCCCCCAGACCCTCTGCCGCTGCTTCTTCGGCTCGCAAGGCCCGACCTTGACTGGACGGCCGCGGATGTCGACGCACAGGGAAGCAAGGGCCCGTTCGGCGTCGGCACGCTCGACGAAATCGACGAAGCAGTAGCCCGGGTTCCTCCCATTCACAGGGTCGACTGAGATGACGATCTTCTCAAAGTTGCCAAAGTCGTTGTCCCTCAGCATGTCTTCGATCTCGACCGGCCGGACGACGTAGAGCAGGTTGCCGAGGTAGATGCGGCGGCCCTCGAGGAGCGCTGCGGGCTGCTCGCGGGATCCCATGATGGGGAGAGCGCGAGATCGCTGCGTGAAGTGGCGGCAGGCCGTTTTGTTGGAAGAGGTTGCAAACGCTCCGCAGATGGGCTGGACCTAGAAATTCAGATCAATGCGGGGGAGCTGCAACGATGCGGCAGTGGGGTAGATTGCCCTAACTAGCTCATCCCGGCAAATTTGCGGCCGAGCAGCTTGCTTTTTCGAGACGGGATACTCAAAGCTTGGCTGAGTTGCAAGCTTGGGACGAATTGCGTGCCGAGAGCGTGTTTGAAATGTTGTGTTTGCTGTAGTAGTACAGGACTCTCACGACCGTGGACACTGGTGTGCGTCAGAGGACTGCAATTTCTTTCAACATAACCCTTGAGATCTATTCCTTCCAGCAGTAAACACCAGTGATAGAGATCGATCCTGGTCTACCCAAACTATGCTTGTAAGAGCCCGTACATGACCTGATATGAACCAACCAAAACATTCTGCATGACATTATCATAACCTCGTGGGCCAAACGCCACCTTTCTCCCAGTATCTTGTTCACATAATGAAGACAGGCTGCCGATTACCAATGAGCTCACTCTTGGATACCTGAACATCCTTCTTGTCGAAATCATGAAGCGTCAACCAGCAGATCATTCTGAAAACCAAAGTATACCAGACTGTGAGCCGTTGCATCTCAATCTGCATCTTCACCGTGTCTCCCCAATCTCTTCGGACCACCATGCCCCGAGATGACCACGTCTTTCTGTGCACGAGACCTGGTGACGGGAGCCCGTTTTGATGCTTTGCCGTGGGGAATGTAGGCTGGTGAACCTGGATCCGAGGCGATGGCATGGGCGAGACATCAGCATCGCTATCCCCGTTTTCTGCGCGTACGGGTGACTTTCTGCGCAGCTTCGAGATGTTGTGGATCTCCCTGGTGACTTCCTCTTGATCTCCTCCTGTTGTAGAGCCAACTTTTGTCGAGCCAATAACTCGCCAAAGGATTTGATCAAAGTAAATCTCCATGAAACGCTGCTCCCTCATTTCGAGAGGTACGCCTAGTAGATCGCCGAATGAGATGTCATCCGATGCTGGCTTGCTTCCATTGGCGCCTTTGCCGTCTTTGGCGTTCTTGTCCTGGCCAGGACCGTTGATAGCCTTGAGAACAACCTGCAAGTGTCGACGGAGAACATCCAAGACTATAGCCTGATTTCGCTTGTCGATGAGTTCATCCAGAGACTCGATCGTCTCATGTAACTTCGTCATCCGGGTGTGGCTGAGGGCGGCGTCGGTACGGAAGTCTTGCTTGAGAGACTCTGCCTTTTCGAGCATCGAGCGAATCTGCTTGACTTCTTCGTGAATCAGATCATCAGACTGCTCATCGTCTTCCGTCAGCAGCGAGATCGTGTCTTGGATGCTGTCCAGGTCTCGACCAATGAGCTCGGAAAATGCGCTGAGAAGTCGGACAAGCGAAACTGATTCCCTATCCCAAGGGAAAATCGTCGGGTTGGGCAAGAAGCGGAAGCATCTTCCTTTGATGTGCAAAACTCGAGCAATCATTCCGACAAGCTCGAAGGTCACTGGGTGATTCTATTAGCTAGAGTTACACTTGGGAAGTGGCGTGCGTACCGGGAAAGATGTGCCTGTGCTTCTTCTTGTCTTTGTAGTAGAGAATCGTTTCAACATTGCAGCCGATCTGCGTGAGCGTCTCGGCGATTTCACTCTCGCTGCCCAACTCCAGTATCTCAACCTTCACGTTGTCTTTCCCGGACGATGTCTTCAACGGATCTTGCCACTCCACATCTTCAGCCTCATCCTTCTTCGCTCGAAAAAGAGTAGGGACTCGGCCAAAGCATAGCTCCTTGACCTCTGATGTCGGTATCAGTCGCCGTTCGCCGAAAGTTGTTCTGCCTGTCTTCTCAAAGACGAAGACGATGCCGAAGTCGGCTATGCGAGAGCCGGTCAAGATGTAGCCGTTACCTTCGGCGCGATACTTGTTATCGTCACGGTCGAAAACCTTCCAGTAAATTCCAAGGACGGAAGCAAGCTCGACTATATGAGAAATGGTCGTGATTGCGTACGGCTTTTTGATCGCCGGGTTTGTGTCAAAGCTCCTCTTCTTCGCCATGATCTTGACTGTAAGGGTCACAGGTGGCGGTTTCGTTCCCACGGGCATGAACTTTTGGCCCGATTCCTTCTCCCGCTCCTCCGCCTCCCAGTCTCGCGAGTCCTTCTCCATTCGTTCAATTGCATTCAGTAGGTATACCCATGTTGCAAGCTCATTATTGACTGTGTGGACGCTCTCAAGGTCGTTCTTGGGAGACAGCTTGTCGTAGTCGACACGGGTCTGCTTGCAACTATCCAGGGTGCCCTCCGCATGCCACGCCGCGCCTTCTCCTGGGTTTCTCTCGTTCCCGGGAGGGGCCAGAAAAATTATGGGCGCTTCGAACTCGATCTCAAGGCGCAGCTGCCTCCACCTGAATTTGCTTTTGCTGTT